ATAGTGCTCCATCATTGGTGTCAGTGGGAGGAATTGTGGCCCATCATCAGTGTTAGTGGGAGGAATAATTCCCTATCATTGGTGTCAGTGGGAGGAATAGTGTCCCATCATTGATGTCTGTAGAAGGAATAGTGTCCCATCATTGGTACCAAATGGAGGAATAGTTCCCCAAGGGCTAGATAAAGGCTAGCAAAGGGCCACATCTGGCCCTTGGGCTGCAGTTTAAAGACCCCTGCCCTAGAGAATAAAATACTTGTAGTACCAATTATTTTGTGCCACAAATTTCAGTAAAAAACAAACACACTTAAGTTAATTTTAGGTCACATAAAGGCAAAAAATTACCTAATTTTTAGTAGAACATAAAATATGAGATTGCATTGAGTAAATAGATAATCAATATGGCAAACCTTAAATTTGCGTGCGCTTGAGAAACGCCGGCAAACGTTAGTACCCTATATTTTTTTATAGTGGGAGGAATAGTGCCCCGTCATTGGTGTTAGTGGGAGGAATAGTGCTCTGTCATTGGTGTCAGTGGGAGGAATAGTGTTCCATCATTGGTGTCAGTGGAGGAATACTGCTCCATCATTGGCATCAGTGTGAGGAATACTGCTCCATCATTGGCATCAGTGTGAGGAATAGTGCCCCATCAGTGGGAAGAATGATGCCCCACAATTGGTTTCAATGGAAGGAATAGTGGCCCGACATTGATATTAGTGGAAGAAATAGTGTCCCATCAGTGGTGTCAGTGGGCGGAATAGTGCTCCATCATTGGTGTCAGTAGGAGGAATTGTGGCCCATCATCGGTATTAGTGGAAGGAATAATGCCCCATCATTGGTGTCAGTGGGAGGAATAGTCTCACATCATTGGTGTCAGTGGGAGGAATAGTGTCCATCATTGGGTGTCAGTGGGAGGAATAGTGTTCCATTATTGATATCAGTGGGAGGAATGGTGCCCCATCATTGATATCAGTGGGAGGAATGGTGCCCCATCATTGATATCAGTGGGAGGAATGGTGCCCCATCATTGATATCAATGGGAGGAAATGGTGCCCTGTCATTGATATCAGTGGGAGGAATGGTGCCCCATCATTGGTGCCAGTGGGAGGAATGGTGCCCCATCATTGGTGCCAGTGGGAGGAATGGTGCCCCATCATTGGTGCCAGTGGGAGGAATGGTGCCCCATCATTGGTGCCAGTGGGAGGAATGGTGCCCCTTTATTGGTGCCAGTGGGAGGAATGGTGCCCCATCATTGGTGTCAGTGGGAGGAATGGTGCCCCATCATTGGTGTCAGTGGGAGGAATAGTGCCCTGTCATTGGTATTAGTGGGAGGAATAGTGCCCCATCATTGGTGTCAGTGGGAGGAATAGTGCCCCATCATTGGTGTCAGTGGGAGAAATAGTGCCCCGTCATTGGTATTAGTGGGAGGAATAGTGCTCCATCATTGGTGTCAGTGGGAGGAATTGTGGCCCATCATCAGTGTTAGTGGGAGGAATAATTCCCTATCATTGGTGTCAGTGGGAGGAATAGTGTCCCATAATTGATGTCCGTAGAAGGAATAGTGTACCATCATTGGTGTCAGTGGGAGGAATACTGCTCCATCGTTGGCATCAATGTGAGGAATAGTGCCCCACCATTGGTGTCAGTGGGAGAAATAGTGCCCCGTCATTGGTATTAGTGGAAGGAATAGTGCTCCATCATTGGTGTCAGTGGGAGGAATTGTGGCCCATCATCAGTGTTTAGTGGGAGGAATAATTCCCTATCATTGGTGTCAGTGGGAGGAATAGTGTCCCATCATTGATGTCTGTAGAAGGAATAGTGTCCCATCATTGGTACCAAATGGAGGAATAGTTCCCCAAGGGCTAGCAAAGGGCCACATCTGGCCCTTGGGCTGCAGTTTAAAGACCCCTGCCCTAGAGAATAAAATACTTGTAGTACCAATTATTTTGTGCCACAAATTTCAGTAAAAAACAAACACACTTAAGTTAATTTTAGGGCACATAAAGGCAAAAAAAATTACCTAATTTTTAGTAGAACATAAAATATGAGATTGCACTGAGTAAATAGAAAATCAATATGGCAAACCTTAAATTTGCGTGCGCTTGAGAAACGCCGGCAAACGTTAGTACCCTATATTTTTTATAGACGACACTTTTAAAACCCCTTATACAGTTGCAAGAAAAAGTATGTGAACCCCTTGGGATTACGTGGAGTTTTGCATGAATTGGGCATAAAATGTGCTCTGAACGTCATCTAAGTCACAACAATAGAAGAACACAGTCTGCTGAACATAATAATACACAAACATTAGATGTTGCCATGGTTTAATTGCACATAACATGTAAACATTCACAGTGCAGGGAGGAAAAAGTATGTGAGGCCCTAGCTTAATGACTTCTCCCCAAGCTAACTGAAGCCAGGAGTGAGCCAACCTTGACTCCAATCAGTGTGATGATATTGGATGTGTTTCTGACAGCTGTCCTGCCCTTAAAAAACACACACACCTGTTTTGGGTTTACTGGTTTCAAGAAGCACTGTCTGATGTGAACCATGCCTCGCAGAAAAGAGCTCTCAGAAGACCTACGATCAAGAATTGTTGACTTGCATGAAGCTGGAAAGGGTTACAAAAGTATCTCCAAAAGCCTTGATGTTCATGTGTCCACGGTAAGACAGACTGTCTACAAATGGAGAAAGTTTAGCACTGTTGCTACTCTCCCTAGGCGTGGTCATCCTGTAAAAATGACTGCAAGAGCACAGCGCAGAATGCTGCACGAGGTAAAGAAGAATCTCAGAGTGTCAGCTAAAGACCTACAGAAATCTCTGGCACATGCTAACATTTTTGTTGACACATCTACAATAAGGAAAACATTAAACAAGAATGGAGTACAGGGGAGGACACCACGGAGGAAGCCATTGCTGTCCAAAAAAAATATTGCAGCACGTTTGAAGTTTGCAAAAGAGCCTGGATGTTCCACAGCACTACTGGCAAAATATACTGTGGACAGATGAAACCAAGATTGAGTTGTTTGGGAAGAACACACAACACTATGTGTGGAGAAAAAAAAAAGGCACAGCACACCAACATCAAAACCTCATCCCCACTGTAAAACATGGCGGAGGGAGCATCATGGTTTGGGGCTGCTTTGCTGCCTCAGGGCCTGGACGGATTGTTGTCATTGATGGGAAAATGAATTCCAGAGTTTATCAAGACATTTTGCAGGAAAACGTACGACCATCTGTCCGCCAACTGAAGCTCTGCAGAGGATGGGTGATGCAATAGGACAATGACCCAAAGCATACAAGTAATTCAACAAAACAATGGCTGCAACAGCACAGAATACGCCTTCTGGAGTGGCCCAGTCAGAGTCCTGACCTCAACCCGATTGAAATGCTGTGGCATGACCTTAAGAGAGCGATTCACACCAGACATCCCAAGAATATTGCTACACTGAAACAGTTTTGTGAAGAGGAGTGGTTCAAAATGACCTGCTTGCCCGCTGCAAGGTTGAACTAAAAAAAATAAAAAAAACCCCACCTACATGTTCTGGGCATCGGGCGATATGAATCGCACACCCCTGAGTATATGTAATAAATACAATCTTTGTACAACTTTAAATTTTCCAAAACTATGTAATAGGGAGGAACTACCCAAACAATTGATTCAGTCTATATCCAAGCACACAGGCTTGTGCACTACATAGTTTACAGTAGATGTGAAAATGATTGTATAAATCAGACTGCACTGTATGTGGTGAGCTTTATAGCGGGTACACATGGACAAAAATATTGGCTAAAATCAGCGGGTACAGTAGAAACTAGCCAACTTTTGGCCTATGTGTACAGCTCCTTGTTCGACAGAAGAAGTGAGTCTCATGACCAGCTTCTGTTGAATGGGCGTACTGGAAAACCAGCATCTTATTGAAATTAAATCAGCCAATGACTGCCAGTGCTGACCTGTGTGTTTTGGAGAGGGGGGCAGTCCCCCCACAACAGCACAGCAGGGAAGAATGTTGTACCAACTTCGCTTGTGTTAGCAAAGCGAACTGTCAGGTTTGTTTTTGGTTCAACCCACAGGGCTGAAAGAAAAAAGAAAAACTCATAATGTGTACAAGGATTTAGAAAAAGTCTTATTTATAGCTGTGTAGCACCCTCCTAGGTAGCTAAGGGGAGCTAATTGTTCGTTAATTAGGTAGCAGCCTATGTGTGTAATAGTCAGAAGGGTCAAATTTTGGTCAGAGCTGAAAGACTTACCCCTGCTCAAGAATCTTGGAGAAGGTTCTAGAGACAGTGGTTGGTCTGCACTCTCAAGGGATCCTGGCCAATCCCCAACAGGAGGCTTGGCATGGAGCCAGGACAGTCCTTAAGAGTGGCCGAGCCTGCTGAGTAGCAGGAAGAGTTCAGGTGGAAGATGGACTAAGCAGGATGGTGAGTGGAGCCTGAGAGGAGGTCCAGGGGAGGCGCCTACCTACATGCCGTGGAGCGGGAAGGGAGGATCTCTAAAAGAAGCAGAGAAGGAGCCAGCCCAGTGTAAGGCCTGAAACCAGCCACCAAGCCACAAACTTGCAGGAGAGAGATTGAAGTGAGTAACACCACACCCCCTAGGCTGGATAAGGGGAAAGGGCATTCAGGTGGGAAACCTGACTAGCCCCCATCTGGGACTGCTTTCATTTAAGGTGGTTATTTCTGGGACCTCTTGGCCAGAGTTTCCCTTGGTCAACTTGGTGAAGAGGAGATTGCATCTGGGGTTTGAGGAGGTACACAAGGAGAGACTGGCTGGTTCTACAGGAAGAGAAAACCTATCTACATACTTGTACATCATTCAAGGAAGTTGTCCTCAGTTTTACAGTTCCTTGGGCATCCCATGTACCCCTCATCCCCATCCAAGTTTAAATTCCCCTAATAAAATCCAAAAAAACCAAGTCAAGGACTGTTTACTGTCTCTGGAGTGCAAGGCTGGAAGGAAAAGTGTGTTGTCTGGCTGTGCAGGGCTATAGGGGGACCCAAGTCTTCAGGAAATTCCTAAGGGGGTAGTGCTACAGCTGGTATCAGGGTTAAATAAGATCCTCAGTTTTATAAAACTGAGTATTAATATGTCCCAGAATATTATTGTATCAGGCAGTCCTGTTATACTCACAGTAATTCCTCTATCCGGCTTGTTCTCAGAGCTGCCATCAGATCCATGAAATGAGGACCCTCCAGATTGTTCCTAGACAGGCCCAGTCTCTTAAGTGTCTGGTTATTTCTTATTCCAGATGCCAGGTGGGGCAGGAACTGTCTGTCAGGTGATTTCTATATAATCTGTAGAAGAAGAGAAGAATGTTACCAGAAGAAAATGAATTCCTCCCCAGGAATGAACGGAACTATTCTATACATGAATTGGAATCATTTATATTTCGATCGCTTTATAAAACTCCAGGAAATAGAATTTTATAAGAAAAATTATAGAATGGAGTAGACCACCCAACATTGTCCTCCATGTGTAGAGACTGTGATTTCTCCATACACAAGATGAGCACAGAATACTAAGACATGACTCGTTTTGTGCTATAATCTCCTTGTGTATGGAGCATGAATGGGATCAGCAGACAGTGTGAGGACGGAATCAGCATTGCTAGTGATTGGAAGGGAGGAATTTTTATCTGATATTCTATTTAATTCTGCCGATAAGAGCTCTGTACTCATAGGAAGTAATGGGAGACCCCCTGACACTGAATAGTAGATGTGTAGTAATGGGGGGATCCCCTGATGCTGAATAGTAGAGGTGTAGTAATGGGGGGATCCCCTGATGCTGAATAGTAGAGGTGTAGTAATGGGGGGATCCCCTGATGCTGAATAATAGATGTGTAGTAATGGGGAGATCCCCCGACACTGAATAGTAGATGTGTAGTAATGGGGTATAACCTGACGCTAAATAGTAGATGTGTAGTAATGGGGAGACCCCCTGACGCTGAATAGTATATGTATAGTAATGGGGGGATCCCCTGATGCTAAATAGTAGATGTGTAGTAATGGGGGGGATCCCCTGATGCTGAATAGTAGATGTGTAGTAATGGGGGGATCCCTTGATGCTGAATAGTAGATGTGTAGTAATGGGGGATCCCCTGACACTGAATATTAAGTGTAGTAATGGGAGATCTCGACCCTGAATAGTAGATGTGTAGTAATGGGGAGACCCCCTGACACTGAATAGTAGATGTGTAGTAATGGGGGGATCCCCTGATGCTGAATAGTAGAGGTGTAGTAATGGGGGATCCCCTGATGCTGAATAATAGATGTGTAGTAATGGGGAGATCCCCCGACACTGAATAGTAGATGTGTAGTAATGGGGTATAACCTGACGCTAAATAGTAGATGTGTAGTAATGGGGAGACCCCTGACGCTGAATAGTATATGTATAGTAATGGGGGGATCCCCTGATGCTAAATAGTAGTATGTGTAGTAATGGGGGGATCCCCTGATGCTGAATAGTAGATGTGTAGTAATGGGGGGATCCCTTGATGCTGAATAGATAGATGTGTAGTAATGGGGGATCCCCTGACACTGAATATTAAGTGTAGTAATGGGGGATCTCGACCCTGAATAGTAGATGTGTAGTAATGGGGAGACCCCCTGACATGGAATAGTAGATGTGTAGTAATGGGAAGATCCCGACAATGAATTGTAGATGTGTAGTAATGGGGATACTACCCTGACACTGAATAGTAGATGTGTAGTAATGGGGAGACCCCCTGACCCTGAATAGTAGATGTGTAGTAATGGGGAGGATCTCCTGACACTGAATAGTAGATGTGTAGTAATGGGGGATCCCCTGACACTGAATATTAGGTGTAGTAATGGGGAGATCTCCTGACACTGAAATATTAGGTGTAGTAATGGGGAGATCCCCTGACACTGAATAGTAGATATGTGTAGTAATGAGGGATCCCCTGACACTGAATAGTAGATGTGTAGTAATGGGGGATACCCTGACACTGAATAGTAGATGTGTAGTAATGGGGAGACCCCCTGAAACTGAATAGTAGATGTGTAGTAATGGGGAGACCCCCTGAAACTGAATAGTAGATGTGTAGTAATGGGGGAGACCCCCTGAAACTAAATAGTAGTTGGGTAGTAATGGGAAGACTCCCTGACACTGAATAGTAGATGTGTAGTAATGGGGGATACCCTGACACTGAATAGTAGATGTGTAATAATGGGGGATCCCCTGACACTGAATAGAGGATGGTTGTGTCAGAAAAAAACAGCTCTGTATGAGGCTTTGGCTGCTTACTGTATTAGGATTAGATTCCAGCATGTATAACCTCCTATAATCTTATAGATTTTTAATAAATACCAGACTAAATGTAATTTTTAAATGTATAACATTTTACAAAAAATACTTTATAGCTCATACTAAAGTTAAATAAGATTTGAAGATTTAGACAACAACCTCATATTGACTGTTTAGGGATTCCAAAAATTAGATCAATTCTGTTTTTAAAGTATCAGACATTTTCATAGTTGGAATGTTAACAACCCCCCCCCCCCCCCGTCAGTCCTGTTATGCTCACTGTAAATCCTCTATCCGGCTTGTTGTCAGAGCCACCATCAGATCTATGAAATGAGGACCCTCCAGATTGTTCTCAGACAGGTTCAGGGTCCTCAGTGTCTGATTATTTCTTATTCCAGATGCCAGGTGGGGGCAGGAACTGTCTGTCAGGTGAGTATAGGACAATCTGTAGAAGAAGAGAAGAATGTTACCAGAAGAAAATTACTTTCTCCCACAGGAATGAATGGAACTTTTCTCTACATGGATGGACTCAGTTCTCTTTATTGGAATAATTTACATTTGATCATTTTATAAAACTCCAGAAAACAGAATTTTATAAGAAAAATGTAATGGGAGTAGACCCCCCAATATTGTCCTCCATGTGTAGAGACGGTGATATCTCCATACACAGGATGAGCACAGAATACCTCTGACATGACTTGTGCTATAATCTCCTTGTGTATGAAGCATGAATGGGATCAGTAGACAGTGTGAGGCTGGAATCAGAATTGCTAGTGATTGGACGGGAAGATTTTTATCTGATATTCTATTTATCTCTGCTGATAAGAGCTCTGTACTCATAGGAAATAATGGGGAGACCCCCTGACACTGAATAGTAGTTGTGTAGTAATGGGGAGACCCACTGACAGAGAATAGTGGATGTGTAGTAATGGGGGATCCCCTGACACTGAATAGTAGATGTATAGTAATGGGGGACCCCGACACTAAATAGATTTGTAGTAATGGGGGGAGCCTCTGACACCAAATAGTAGATGTGTAGTAATGGGGGACCCCCTGACACTGAATAGTAGATGTGTAGTAGTAATGGGGGGCCCCTGACACTGAATAGTAGATATGTAGTAATGGGGGACCATTGACACTGAATAGTAGATGTGTAGTAATGGGGGATCCCCACCACTAAATAGTTGATGTGTAGTAGTGGGGGATCCCCGCCACTGAATAGTAGATGTGTAGTAATGGGGAGACCCACTGACACTGAATAGTAGATGTGTAGTAATGGGGGAGGGAAATCTCCTGACACTGAATAGTATATATGTAGTAATGGGGAGACCCCCTGACACTGAATAGTAGATGTGTAGTAATGGGGAGATCCCCTGACACTGAATCGTAGATGTGTAGTAATGAGGGATCCCCTGACACTGAATAGTAGATGTGTAGTAATGAGGGATCCCCTGACACTGAATAGTAGATGTGTAGTAATGGGAAGACCCCTTGACACTGAATAGTAGATGTGTAATAATGGGGAGATCTCCTGACACTGAATATTAGATGTGTAGTAATGGGGGGATCTCCTGACACTGAATAGTAGATGTGTAGTAATGGGGGATCCCCGCCACTGAATAGTTGATGTGTAGTAATGGGGGATCCCCACCACTGAATAGTAGATGTGTAGTAATGGGGGATCCCCTGACACTGAATAGTAGTAATTTAGATGAGGACTAAGAGTCCGGTGATTATCTGCTCCTGTCCTAATTAATCTTGCTAGCTTTGGAATGTGCGCACACTGGAAGAGACTCACAGCCGACACAGATAAGTTCAGTCTAGCAACATTTCTAGTTTATTATAATGAGAAAGTGAGCTTATATATAAAAGATGATGGAAACATCACGTGAGAGCCGCATAAGCATTATATTAGTCTTTGATTGGTCACTTCCACACAAAAACAATCTCCTTTCAGAATATAGGTGTAATCCTCTTCTACTTCCTATCTCTGAAAAGAAACATCCCTTTGTTCTCAAGTTCACTCGATGGAGGGGTTGCTGAGCAGACATTTCTTGAGCAAGGATTTCGTAAAGTACCACAAAGCCCAGCAGGCAGAAAACATACACACAACACACATATATATATATATATATATATATATATATATATATTCATACAAAACATTTAGAAATATAAAAAAGTATAAAAGTAGATATGTATAAAATGTATAAAAATATGTATATATTCAACAGGAAACCAAATAGGCATTTTACTATATCCATCAGAGTCCCCCCTTAAAATGACTTTTTTACTCTGTCCCTATAAAACCTAGCTAATCTGTCCATATGTACCTTGGAACTCTTTTATGCTGTACGTTAGACAGGTAATGACTATTTCATCACCCCCTTTGCCACAGACTTTGTACATAAGGAAGTCAGATGCTATCCCTACAAAATTGTGAGATTACTGTTGACGGGGAGGGACCGTAATGGGGTATAAGGTTTTCCTTCATCTATCATGTGGAGATTCTCTTGCTCCTGGTTCAGGAAGGTAGGTGTACTGTTGTCTACAGCTTTGCTCATCAATTTCTTCACATATGGTATAACACAGCATACAACCAGGGCCAAGAGAAACAGAATTATTTGTACAGTTACCCCTATTTGGGCAAGTATCTTTTACCTCCCACTCATCCAACTGAAATATTGATCCCATGGGTCTGTGATCCCTGAATTCTTTTTCAACTCAACTGACAGGTCTTCTAATTTCTTTATAGCCAGAGTAACCTTACCATTTGGGCCAGTATTGTCAGGAATATACTGTATGTACAACATGTTCCGGTTCCTTCTATCATTTTACAGACACCTCCTTTCCATCTTTCTTGTTTAGGGCACTCTGTGGTCTGTACCCCCAGTCTGTTCCCGTATTCCATCCTACTGATCCCCAATAGTCACAATTCTGTCCCCAATCATCATCCGTGACACTTATGTATATCTTGTCACCACCTAAGTCACATGCCCGCTGTGCCCTGTTAGGATCTGAATGGCCTCGGCACCAAATGGGAACTAAACTGCAAAAATCAAAGGTGAAGGTGGCTACCTGAGTGTTGGATGAATTGTACCAAAATATAGTGGTATCACCTGTTGAGCCTCTGTCAGACTCATTAGAAAAAGGATATACAACATAGTTGTCATGGTGTAGATGATGCCTTTTCCTCAGGGGTTGGGACTTTCTTGCAGTAGGAGGCGTGTATTCAAGTGTTCTTCCTGGCCACCTTGACAGAAGTGGTTGTGGTCAGCAGAACTTAGAATGGACCATCATATCTTGGCTCAAAAGAATGTTTCCTCACAAATTTCTTTACTAATACCCAATCTCCGGGTAATAGGCTGTGATTCCCTGTATCTGACTCAGAATCTGGAATGGAAGAAAACACTTGGACATAGATACGGGTTAATTCATGTGATAATGCAGTCACATAAATAGTTAACACATCAGATTGTAATTGCAACTGTTGTGGAAAATAACAACCAAGTCTGGGGGCTGAGCCAAACAAAATCTCATAACGGGATAGGGAGTGTTCTCCCCTTGGTGTGTATCTGACACTGAATAGGGCAATAGGCAGACTGTCTGGCCAACTCATGCCAGTCTCTTGGGCAATTTTTAGCATTCTGGCGTTCAGAGTGCCATTCATTCTTTCTACTTTTCCAATACTTTGGGGGTGATAGGGGATATGGAACACCAGAGTGACTCCCAATGCCGCCCATATTTCTTTGGTTACTGAAGCTGTGAAGGCGGGTCCCTGGTCACTCTCTATCACCTCTGGAAGCCCATATCTGCATACAACCTCAGTGAGGAGTTTCTTCGCAGTTGTTTTAGCAGTCATGTTAGTTACAGCAAAGGCCTCTGGCCAACTGGAAAACATGTCCACCACCACTAGGGTGTACTCAAACCGCCCACTCTTTGCCATCTGGATATGGCCAATTTGTATCCTTTGAAAAGGGTACAGGGGTATGGCAAAGTGTTTCTGTGGTGTCTTCTTTGTGCGTCCCGGATTGCATTTTGCACAGATGGCACATATTCTGCAAAAATTGTTCATCAATGTGGTGATCCCAGGCGCTATATAGTATTTGTTGATGAGAGAGTTCATGAGGCTCTTTGACAGATGGGCTGCCCTGTGTGCCCACTGGACTACAGCTGGGAACATGTTCCTGGGTAAACAAAACCTCTTGTTGCACTCAAACAGACCGTCTTTGAGAACAGCTTCTCTCCGTCTCCAGCTTTTTTTTTCTTCTGAACTTGCTGCTTCTTGGAGTTCCTTGAGGTGCCTTCTATCCACAGGTAAGGTCTGTAGGGTGAATACTGGTTCCCACTCTCCGGTCACCTCTCCTTCCATTTCTGGTGGTCCCATGGCCACTCGTTTTGCCGTCAAATCTGCCAGATTATTGCCTTTGGCTTCTGGGGAGTTTAATTTCCTGTGAGCTTTTACCTTCAGAATAGCCACTTGAGTGGGTAGAAGGAGTGCTTCCATCAATCTTCCAATGGCTGCGCCATGTCTTGTGGACGTACCTGCCGCAGTCATAAATCCTCTTGCCTTCCATATGGGTCCGAAGTCATGGGCCACTCCAAAGGCGTATCTGGAGTCTGTGTAGATATTGGCCCTTTTTCTGTCCGCCATCTGTCATGCTGTTGTGAGTGCTTGAAGTTCTGCTCCTTGTGCAGATATTGCTGGCAATAGGGCTCTTGCCTGTAGGACTGTGTCTGCAGTGGTAACCGCAAATCCTGTATGATATTTGCCTCCATCATCTACATATCTGGAACCATCAACAAAGAAGGTGAAGTCTGGGTCCTGCAGAAGTGTTTCATTCACTGTGGGGAGGTGGAAAGTTTCCATTTTCATCACGTCAAGGCAGTTATGAGGCTCAGTGGCTCCATTATCCTCTCCATTTTCTTCATTACCTTCATTATCCCCCTCAGCAGTTGGGAGGAGAGTGGCTGGGTTCAAGGTTTGGCAACATAGGAGAGTGACGTTATCAGGAAGTTGGAGGGAACACTGTAGTCTGAGATGCCGCGCTGTGGACAAATGTTTAGGTTGGACTTAGTTTAAAATGGCAGCAATGTCATGCAGTGCCAGGAGGACAAGTTCATGTCCCAGAACGATATCAGAGGTCTTATCCAGCAGAGCTTGAGCAGCGAAAACTGCACGCAGACACAAGGGTGCTCCCCCTAGCCACTGGGTCTAAACGGCATGAGTAGTAGCCTACGGGTCGTAGGCGGTTGCCATGGGACTGGGCCAATTCTCCCGTGGCATGGCCTTGGCGTTCAGACACAAACAGTTTGAAAGGTTTCTCATAGTCTGGTAGGCCTAGGACTGGGGCTGAAGAAAGTAAGTGCTTTAGAGCCAAGAAAGGCATGGAGTGGCTTCTGGCCCAGAGGCAGTAGCAAGTTCTGGATGACCTTAACTCTCTCCTCCG